GCATGGCTGTCGGACGGGCTTTCTGGAAATTTCTCTGAATCTCTGTTGTGTCCTGGGCTTGGGCCACATCTAGCCAGGGAAGCCTGAGAAGGTGCTCTGGGCATAACTGTGGTCCCACACGGCTTCTATACATTTGGAGCACCTCTCGAAATGTTATTCTAAGTACCCTACGGAGCTCATCCAGAGCTAGGGTGCAACCCAGGGTGGCTTCTCTATTAATTTGCTAGGACTGCCATAACAAAGTACCATTCCAGGCTGGGCCCCTTAAACAAACGTATCTCACAGTTTAGGAGGGTAGAAGGTGGAGCTCAAGGTGTGGGCAGGGTGGTTTCGTTCTGAGGTCTGTGAGGGAGATTGTGTCCTCTCCCCTGGCTTCTGGGGGTTTGCTGGCCATCTTAGGTGTTTCCTGGTTTGTAGATGCACTCATCTTCGCATGACCTTCTCCTTGTGGGAGCCTGTGCTCAAGTGTCCCCATTTTATAAGGTCACTAGTCATCATGAATTACCCCGAAGACCCCATTCATCTTAATCACACGTGTAATGACCCTATTCCCAAATAAGATCACGTTCTCAGGTACTTGGGGTTAGGACTTCAATATTTGAACTTCAGGTGACACAATTCAACCCATAATGGGTTCCAAACATTGGAAGCACTCCCTGTAATTTTCTTAATGCCCTCCCAGAAGTTGGGCCTGGCTTAGGGCAGATAGGCTGGTGAAAATCCCTCTGGCCACCTCCCCCATCTTGGGGTCCCACTGTTAGGATAAGCCTTCCCTGTATGTGTATGTATGTATGTGTGTGTATATATATATATATATATATATATATATATATATATATAGTTTATTTATACTTTAAAGAGACAGAGTGTAAGTAGGGGAGGGGCAGAGAGAGGGAGACACAAGAATCTGAAGCAGGCTCCAGGCTCCAAGCTGTCAGCCCAGAACCCGACATGGGGCTCGAACTCATGAGCCATGAGCCATGAACTCATGAGCTCGAACTCATGACCTGAGCTAAAGTCGGACGCTTAACCAACTGGTTAAGGTGCCCCTTCCCTGGATATTTTTAGTTCCTCTATGAAAAGGAAGACAGTCCAGGCAGAGCAGGAGGCCCAGGGAGAGCACCCCAGGACCACACGTGGTACTGACTGGTGGTTGGCTGTAGAAGGCTGCCTGCACAAATGTTTCTAACTCTCCCTCTGGTGTTCTTGGGGTGCATCCAGGCCCTACATGAGACCATGGCTGAGCTCAACATCTTCCCCCAAATTCTCTGGTTGCTGGATATGCCTGCAGAATGTTTTTCTATTATTATTATTATTATTATTATTATTAGAGAGCGAGAGAGCAATGCACATGAGCAGGGGACGGGGAGACAGAGAGAGAAAGAGAGAGACTCCCAAGCAGGCTCTATGCCTACCATGTGAGATGGTGACCAGAGCCAAAATCAACACTCAACCGACTGAACCGTCCAGGCGCCCCTGCCTGCAGAAGATTTTTCGAAGTCCCCCTCTACATATCTGTCCTTTTGCCAGTGCCTTAATGTATTGACTCCTGGAGCTTTAAGTTTTAAAATCAGGGAGTGTGATACCCCCAACTTTTTTCTTTTTAAAGATTGTTTTGTCTATTTGGGGTACCTAGAGATTCCACATGAATTATATTTATTTTTAAAAAATAGGCTTCATGCCCAGTGTGGAGCCCAATGCAGGATTTGAACTCATGACCCTGAGATCAACACCTGAACTGAGATCAAGAGTCTGACACTTAACCAACTGAACCACCCAGGCGCCCCTCCATGTGAATTTTAGAATGGATCTTTGGGGCGCCTGGGTGGCTCAGTCGGTTAAGCGTCCGACTTCAGCTCAGGTCACGATCTCGCCGTCGTGAGTTCGATCCCCGCGTCGGGCTCTGGGCTGATGGCTCGGAGCCTGGAGCCTGCTTCCGATTCTGTGTCTCCCTCTCTCTCTGCCCCTCCCCCGTTCATGCTCTGTCTCTCTCTGTCTCAAAAATAAGGAAACGTAAAAAAAAAAAAAAAAAATTTAGAATGGATCTGTTTTTTTTTTTTTTCCCCTATTTCGGCAAAAAACACTGCTGGGATTGCACTCAGTCTGTAGATTAACTTGGGTGGTGTCAACACCTTAACTCTCCCAATCCATGAACACAGGATGTCTTTCCATTTATTGTGATCTTTTTCACTTTCTTTGGGCAACATTTGTAGTTTTTAGTGTATGAATCTTGTCTCCTTGGTTAAGGTTATTCCTAAGTACGATAAAATCTTGGATGGCGAGTAACTTGTTCGACGAGTGTTCTGCAAGATGAGCAAACATTTCTCATATATTTTAACTTGATACACGAGCGGTGTCTTGCAATACAAGTAACACATGATGCCAAAAGTCACAGGATCACAAGTGAGCCAATAGTTCTTGAAATTCGCTTTGATGTACAAGTGCTTTGGATTACAAGCGTGTTTCCAGAACGAATTATGCTCAAACCAATGTTTTACTGTATTTTATTCTTTTTCATGCTTGTAAATGAAATTGTTTTCTTAAACTTTCCTTTTTGAATCGTTCATTGTTAGTGTACAGAAACACAACTGAGTTTTGCTTGCTTTGTATCCTGCAGATTTGCTGGATTATTTTTTTGTATGTGGAATCTTTAGGGTTTCTCACATGTAAGATTGTGCCTTTTTTTTTTTTTTAAATCATGTTAACTGTCTTTTCTGCATTGAGATGCTCATGTTTTTTCCCCTTCATTCTGCTAATGTGGTATATTACGCTGATTCTCTGATGTTGAACCATCCTTGCATTCACGTTTAAGTGCACTCATGACCCACTTGGTCATGGTGTATAATACTTTTAATGTGCTGAATTTGGTTTGCTAATTTTTCTTTAGTATTTTTGCACCAACATTCATCAGGGATATTGGCCTGTAGTTTTCTTTTCTTGACTTTGTCTGGCTTTGAATTCACCAGTGAAGCCATCTGGTCCTGGCCTTTTCTTTGCTGGAAGGTTTTTGACTAACGATTCAGTGTCAGTACTAGTTATTAAGTCTATTTAGATTTTCTATTTTTTCATGATTCAGTTTCGGTATATTGTGTGCTTCTAGGAACTTGTCCATTTCATCTAGGTTATCCAGTTTATTTGTGTACAACTATTCACAATTTTCTCTAATAATCCTTTTTACCTGTAAAATTGGTGGTGATGTCACTTTTTATTTATTATAGTAATTTGCATCTTCTTTTTCTCTTAGCCAACTGAGCTAAATGCTACTTTTTTTTTTTTTCAAAGAACCACCTTTTGTGTCATTGATTTCTATTCTTTATTTCTCTATGGCCTATTGCTTTTCTGTTCTTTATTTTTTAAAAATCCTTGGGATGCCTGGGTGGCTCAGTCGGTTGGGTCAGACCTCGGGTCATGATCTCACCGTTTGTGGGTTCGAGCCCCACATTGGGCTCTGTGCTGGCAGCTTAGAGCCTGGAGCCTGCTTCAGATTCTGTGTCTTCCTCTCTCTCTCTCTCTCTGCCCCTCCCCTGCTCTTTCTCTCTCTCTCAAAAATAAACATTAAAAAAATTTTTTTTTAAATCTCTTTGGGGCCCTTGGGTGGCTCAGTTGGTTGAGTTTGGGACGGAGCTCTGCGTCAGGCTCTGTGCTGAGTGTGGAGCCTGCTTAAGATTCTCTCTCTCCCCCTTTGCCCCTCCCCTGTTCACGCTCCCTCTCTCTCAAAAAAAAACTCCTTGTCTAGTTAAGCCTGACATTTGTTCCTCTAGGGACAGTTTCTGTCAATTTCTCTGAATGGGCCGTGTTTTTCTGTTTTTTTTGTATGCCCTATGAATTTTTGTTAAATGTTGGGTATTTGAGCACCTTCATATGGGAACTATGGAAATCAGAGTCTTTCCCTTCTCTAGAGTTCGCAGGGTTTTTTTCTTTTAATTGTAAAAAGATGTAGTAGTTTTGAGACTCTTCTAAACTGTTTTGGCAAACCCTATTCCTTGTGTCATCACTGAAGTCTCTGTTCCTTTAGCTTGTGTCTAGCATGCTCCCATATATCTATATCTATATCTATATCTATATCTATATCTATATCTATATATATATATATATATAATTTTTATTTATTAAGCAATCTCTCCCCACAACGTGGGGCTTGAACCCACAACCCCAAGATCAAGAGTTGCACGCTTTACTGACTGAGCCAGCTAGGTGCCCTAGCTTATGTTGTGACAGAGATTCTTTTTTTTTTTTTTTTTTAAGTTTTATTTATTAATTTGAGAGACCGAGAGAGAGCATGAGCAGGGGAGGGGCAGAGAGAGAGAGAGAGAGAATCCCAGGCACTGACAGCCTGGAGCCTGACATGGGGCTCAAACTCAGGAACCGCAAGATCACGACCCAAGCTCAAATCAAGAGTCAGAGGCTCAACTGACTGAGCCAGCCAGGTGCCCCGGACAGAGAGCCTTGAATATCAGGAGTCCCTCCAAGTCTGCAGACCGGCTCTGCTCTGTCACTCTTTCAACACTTGGCTAGACTTGTCCTAAACCTGAGGTAAAAGCTTAATGTCTTCTTAGCCTTTTTTTCTGAGTATGTACCTCACCTGAGCATGAACGTGGCTTTCAAACTCCCCTGTACAGAGCTGCTTTTCAATGTCCTAACTTCCCAAAGAGTTTGACCCCATCTTCTCCTCGGACCTCAGATGGTACATTCTCTTGCACCAGGCATCTGCGGGTCTGTCTGTATTCACCTTGTAGCTTTTATAAGCCATCAGTTCACTTGTTCCACCTGAGTTTCTAGTTAGGTGAAAAAAACAAGTACTGGGGTGCCTGGGTGGCTCAGTTGGTTAAGCGTCTGACTTTAGCTCAGGTCACCATCTCACGGCTCGTGAGTTCGAGCCCCGCGTCGGGCTCTGTGCTGACAGCTCAGAGCCCGGAGCCTGCTTCAGATTCTGTGTCTCTCTCTCTCTCTGCCCCTCCCCTGTTCGCACTCTCTCTCTCTCAAGAATAAAGAAAGAAAAGAAAGAAAAGAAAAGAAAAGAGAGAGAGAAAGAAACAAACAAAGAGACAAGTACCTTGTGTCAATCCTTCAAGATCCTCCAGAAAGGTTAGAACAGACACGCAGTAATTTGCAAATAAGGTCTTCTCTGCTCCCTTGGGTTCAACGGAGGAGCTGGGAACCAAGCTGCCATGGCTTCAAGACCAAGGCCACCGATGTGCTGGGGAGAGAGTCAGGAAGGGGTAAGTGAAAAGGCACAACACTTTCCCCCCATTTGAACGTGGCTTTTTCTTGATTAGGTGTTCATTTGGTTGCTGTAAACCTCGATTTTCCAGAGCTCTGCTGGAACTCTGGTTCACTTCCTGCTTCCTCCCTGCCAATGTTTCTGTGGGGGAGCAAGAACTTGGAGCTTCCCAGCCACCACGTTGCTGACACTGCTCGAATAGTTTGCTGCTCTCTCTTTGTCCCGGGTCTGACTCACAGAGACAGACAATGTGCCGAGCAATTACATGTCTTGTAAATCAAGTTTAACTGTGTGTTTACATAATAGTCATGGGCTGCTTGAGTGGAACAATGGCAGAACCGAGGAGCTTCGACAGGGATCAGAGACTGCCCAGATGAACGGGTCTGGGACCTGGCCCTTTGGCAGAAAGTTTACCTGATTGACAACACTCGGCACAGGAGAGATGCTTCAAAATTAGAACTGCATTGAGAGCACAATCTCTGAGCCAACTGGCAAGGGTCTGAAGTCAGTCTTTTATCTTTTACTAGCTTTTGTGACCACTGGAAGCTTGCTAAAATGTACCGCAACCCCTCGCTTTTTTGAAAGACAGGAAACAGAATTACTTTACAGAATTTGCTCAAGTTTTACGGTATTAATCTGTGGGTGCTCATTTCCACAAAACGATGGAAATGGTGCCTGAGAGGCCTTGGTGTTGCTAGTTGCTGGCCCGTTGTGACAAGGCTATACCTGTTCTGCTGTTGAGCATAAACTATCTTACAACCCAAACCCCACAGGTTCACTCTCTGTGATGGAACAAGACCAACACGAGGCCGCTGTCATGTCTGTAACTGAATTACACAAGGAAACTGCCCAAGCCACAACAATGACCACATGTGTCACTATTCTGACACAGACGATTGACTATTGTGTTTTTTTAATTTTAACGTTTATTTTATGTTTGAGAGGGAGAGAGAGAGAAGAGACAGAGTGCGAGGAGGGGAGGGGCAGAGAGAGAGGGAGGCGCAGAATCCGAAGCAGGCTCCAGGCTCCGAGC